AAAACACATCTGTCAAAGCTAAAGATTTCAGCTTTGATCCCACAAGAAGAAACAAATCTGCAATGGTACTGCAGAACCATAGTTTTGAGTTTATTCTTCGGTAAGTTCTTACTATTATTTTTCATAGCTGCTTTAGTTTCCAAAGACATGCTGTCCAGTGAGATACAATATCCCTGGATTAATTAAACTCAAAATACTAGAGAAACTTCTAGACATGGTATCACATCTATCCAATGTAATAATAACATACATTAAATAGAATACCAGTATGAAATTACAAAAATACATTATTGCATGATATGGAATGCAAATTAACAATCCAGTAAAGATTATGTAAAAATAAGTAGCACTGTAAGCTTATATGGGCCTTGATTCTGTATATCTCCACTTCCTAAATTCAAATGATTCATTTCAGGTTTTTTTGTCATGCTCCTCACTCACCTTTATTCTGTCTTTGTATATGAAAAATTAATTTCTCATCCCCTGCCTCCATGTTGTCACAGCATTGGTTTGGATCCCAGCAATAAAGCCGCCAGTGAGTAATGGGATTAGAGTCCAGATTAACACTGTGACTTCAGATGTCCTGTAAAGAACCTCTGTGATATACATGCAGATCTATTCTGCGGAAAACCAACATACAGTGGACCTGCATTCTTCAAATTAGCCAATTGAAATTCAAATATATTTAACGTGTCAGCTGTTATTGTAACAAGATCATCATGCAAAACTAATCTTGCATAAATTAGAGTTTTTATCATACTTTGTTCATATTTTTCTGGACATTATTGGTTCTTATTCCCTGAATACTTGAAAAGTTAAAACCAGGAAGAGCCCCTCAAATTTTCCACGTGTCTATGTTGACATCTAGTGGCCATTGTTGGTTATTGCATTCACTAAGCGGCGTCCGTTTTAAATTTCATAGAAATAATAATTATTAGTGTTTTAAAAAATTATCATTAAAACGTCCGATTTTAAGAGAAAAAAACTGTCCAATAGAAAACTGGAAAGAAACAAAATTATACAGTCTTATATTGCATGATGGTTTCACAACTCTCTTGATGAAATATATATTTAAAAAGCATGCCTTTACCTGTATTTGAACCTCAATATGTTTTTTCCTTGAATTGAATATTTTATGAGCTGGGCATATGTAATGATGAACACACTCATTAAGCATAGCAGCAGATGGTGCTAGGATGGCTCTGGTTCAACCCACTTACTTTTCATTCCTGGTTCTGCAGGAATGAAGGCAGCCTTCTTTGCTTTTACACAAGGTCTGAATTGTTGTTGAAGTTAAGCAATGAAGGGAAAAAAATTTAACATTTGTACTAATTATCACCTGAATTAACACTTAACTCCTGCTTGTTAAAGTATGTGTGCAACAAATTTTATATTTCATTTTATATTTCCAGATTAAGATGAAAACAAAGAATGGGCTTATTTTTTTAATTGAAATGTATATTTTGTGTTTTTAAAATGAGCTTATCTTAAAAAGTGTTTCTTCTACTTACAGCTTATTGATAACATGGGTTTAAATGATTTTGCACACTTCTGTAGAAAATTTACACCTAAGATAATTATGCCACCTAAATGTGTAAAAATCACAAATAAATTCAAACTAGTTCATTGGGCTCATGTCTTTTTCAATGGATTCAGTTTGCTAAGAGATCATAACATGTTCTAATTAAATGTTGTACATTTGACGATGTGCATATTAAATAATATTTGTTCTCATTTTTAATGTAGTTAAAGACATTGTTTTATGTCTGTTGGTTTGTAGTTTGGTTTTAATGAGGTTTGAATAATGAATTATCCAACACGTACGCAATTCATTACTGCATAACATCGGCTTATTACCAATTCATAATCTGTTAAATCAAACTGGATTACATCAACCTGTAGAAATTTAAACTTTTTGCTATAACCACCGATGTTTAGCATTTAATATCCAGAATATTTAACATCCCTGATTTTTATTCAATCAAGGATGATGCTTAACCCTAAAATTATGAGGGATTAACTTTCTTTTTATATTCCACATAATATAAAAAGCAAGTTCATACCAAACTGCTGCTCTAGTGCGTCCTAGTGAAGTGTCAAATGACAATAAATAACTTATGTAACAGTTATTTAAGTTTGTCATTCATTTATTAAACCTCTTCATTTATTAAACCTCTTCAGTCTCCAGAGATTTGTGTCTTTTGATCTGTCTTTAAATAATATAAGTTTATTCACAGATTGCTTATTTAAAAATGTTCAATAAAGTTTTGTAAAATGCTTTTTTTTTTTTAAAGAAATGCGCACAATTAAAAGAAGCAACAAATATCCAGGCGGAGATTTTAAATTTAGGACATAACGGGTTAATGGGTACAAATACTGTTTGTAAAGAACTGTCTTAGATTACCTCTTCAGTCCAGCATGATGTAATAAATAGATTTTTTTCTACTCATGAAAGAGATTTTTATTCTTGGTACGTCTTTTGCCCTCTACTTTTTATCTTATTTTTAAGCTTCAAACAGAAGTTGAGTAGAAAAAGCACTAAAAATAATAAAATAATCCACCAAAAAAAAAAAAAACAGACTGTAAAGGTTGTAGAACCATTTACACAAAACATGACTGAAAGACAGTACTGTGTGTTGTTTGTTGTTACGCAAACTGTTTTGCATTACAGAAGTATGTCCTCTCCTACTTCTGGTATTTCCATCAAACCCAAGAGGAATGTTACAAGCTCCTGTTAAAGCCTGAGCTGAAGGCAACAACAACTGCAGTGTGAAAGGAGATCCTTTTAAAAGGTTAAGCATTTTCCTAAAGAACAGAACAGTCTGTCTTCAGATGTGGTGCTAATGCGTTCACTTGAAGATACCATAAGTGGCGTGGTTTAGTTTTATCACTAATAAATGTATGATTAAAAAAACACACCATGGAGATGGAGTTTGGATTCCTGTACTGCAGGATTTCACAAAACCCAAAGCTTTTAAAAGGCTTACCGCAGATTTCGACATAGATTGTGAAGTGTTTGGGTTGGAAGGGATTCTCACATTAACTATTTATGAATTTGTAAGTGAGTAAGCAGGTTAAATAATGTTATGATTTGACAGTACATGAGCACTGTGCAGTCTGAGCTCACTGTACTATTTAGGAGCTGAAAAACTCCTTTTCTGACTGTTGAGGTGAAATTTCTCATTTCTCTTTTCCTTTGGTGTTGACTTATTTACTTGTAGGAACATTTAAAAAATCACAATCTTATAAAGTTTGACATTTTTTGTCACATATCTAAAAATAAGTCATGATATAGTATGAAATATTTTTATTATCACTTGTAAGATTTGAGTATTATGGGTTACAGATCATGAAAACCAGAAATTTTAGTGTTTTGGAAAATTAGAGAACAAAAAGGTTCTGGGTTCGAATCCTGGCCTGAGGTCTTTCTGCAAAGAGTTTGCATCTTTCCTTGAGCATGAATGGATTCTCTCCAGCTTTCTCACACAGTCCGAAAACAATGCGATGGACTGGTGACGAGTCCAGGCTGCCGTGTCTCTTGCTTAATGACCGCTGGAGAGAATCGTGGTGTCATTGACTGTCTTCTGGACATATGTCAAGTCAGCAGCCTTTCCCATGATTTTGAAGCCTAATGACTCAAACTGAGAGACCATTTAGAGGCTCAGGAAACCTGCATGTGTTTCGAGTTAATTATCTGACTATGGTGTTTCCACGAGTTTCCCATTTAAACTATTTCACAATGTTGAAATTTTTTAAGAGACTCAATTTGGCGTTTTCTGGAAGTTTACATTTCTGAAATAAGTGACATAAAACATCAAATTTTTCACAATTTTTTGGGGGGGAAAGTTTAAAAATCTTGTTCATAAAATACACCAATAAAAATCAAACGACTGAAAAACAAACACAAAAGGAAACAAATGAGCCCTTAAAACAGCAGTGGAAAAATAAGAGACCACTTAAAATCATCAGTTTCTTTGATTTTTCTTTTTATAGGTAAATGTTTCAGTAAAATGAACATTGTTATTTTATTCTATGAACTACTGACATAATGTCTCTGAAATTGCAAGCAGAAATTTTGTATTTATTTGCAGAAAATGAGAAACGGTCCAAATAAGGAAAAGGATGCAGTGCTTTCAGACCTCAAATAAAGCACAGAAAACAAATTCATATTAATTTAGAAACTAAATTAAACTAAACCTGGTTGTAGTTCTCTCTTGTTCTAAGAACAGAAAATATATATTTTTGGTTATTCCTATTATGTCTTACCTCTTAAAGCTCTGTCATTGTTTGAACCATGTTACTTTAAGATGGGATAATTCAGTAACTCTCCAGGGAACAGGAGGGATTCATTGATATATAATTTGGCTGTAAAAAGATAAAAACTGCATTTATCTGCATGATATTTAAGCACTTATGTGCTACGGATTTGGCCCCCAGGTGCTTGAGTTTGACACAGGTGTTCTCCGTAATGTAAAAACAAGGTGAACAATCAACCATGTTGATTGTTCTGGGTCCATTCTGGGTCCTGTGGCTCATCCAGGACAGGAACCGCCACTGAAGGTGAGTTTGGTGTTTTTACAGAAAAGCCTATATGGATTAATCCTGTGGGAAGTGTTTAACAGTCCAATCATCCTAATGATTTAATTGGAATGCAGTTTGGTCATGCTGGGTCTCCTCTCCTCTCCTCTCCTCTCCTCTCCTCTCCTCTCCTCTCCTCTCCTCTCCTCTCCTGTCCTCTCCTCTCCTGTCCTCTCCTCTCCTCTCCTCTCTCTCTCCTCTCCTCTCCTCTCCTCTCCTCTCCTCCCTCTCCTCTCCTCTCCTCTCCTCTCCTCTCTCTCTCCTCTCCTTCCTCTCCTCTCCTCTCCTCTCCTCTCTCCTCTCCTCCTCTCCTCTCCTCTCCTCTCCTCTCCTCTCCTCTCCTCTCCTCTCCTCTCCTCTCCTCTCCTCGAAGTCTCTCCTCCCCATCCAGTCCGTAAAGAAAACAGTCTCTCCAGCAGCCACCAGTCTGCAGCCACGATGTTTTCGCCGAGAGGAGGAGGAGGAGAGGGGTTTGTGTTTTTGGTGGCGCACGCTGCGTCCCCTCGTGGATCGTGGACATTTCGCAGCCCGGTGGTGTTTTAGGTGCTCTGGATGTCAGGGAGCACCGTGCATGGCTTTCACTGACCTGCATGTTCTGCTGTGCATCCCTAACGGGGAAATGTGGGTCGGAAGCTGCAGCTGAGGTTCACCTTGCGCTGTGATGACTGATTTTTACTCCCCACGTTTTATTAACATATCACCTAATTATTGGCTGCACGTATTTTCCTAGCTCTCCGTTTTGTATTTCGGATTTTTTTAAAAAAAATTTTCACCGTAATTTCCGCGATCTGAGCATGCTTTTGTAGTTCCCGTGGCCAGCATCTCCCAACCTGACTCAGAAACAACCATCCGGGATCTCTGCGCGGTCGAGATGGATGGCTGGAGCCGGGCAGCCGCGGTGGAGGACGGTGCGGTGAATTTCACAGCAGCCCACCTCTGGCTGGATCTCCTGAACGCATCGGGCCGGTGGGACAGCAGCAGCAGCAGCAGCAGCAGTCCGCCTGCAGACGGAACCGGGCAGCAGGAGCAGCAGGAGCAGCAGGAGCGCCTGGTCCGGGAGCAAGCCTACCGGGACTTCACCACCACCGTCCAGGTTCTCATCCTGATCGGGTCGCTGCTCGGTACGTCCACTTATTGCATATTCAATCATCCACAAATGATGAAAAGTGAATTTATTTCTCCAATTTGGTCATTTTAACGCCTCTTTCTGAAGCTTCTTTCTATTATATTACCCTGAGTCTCAATAGAGAGCCTTGAGGGACCTCTATCACATCCTGGTTGTTATACCGCAGCCAGAACCATAAAGGTTCTGGCCAAAATGAAAGCTGCAAATCAATGTGTCATTTGTCACGGATGTGGTCGTGACATTGTGATTCTCTGGAGCTGAAAACACACTTGCACCAGATTGCTTGTGTATCACAAGGGAAGATATGAGATTCGTCAGAGGCTGGATGTTTTGGAGAGGCCACAAAGTTCCAATTTACTGTGATGCACGCTGGTTCCATTGACTTCAAAAATTGTTGCAAAACAGAACAAAATGACATGGCTTGGGCTCAAAACCACATCAAGGTTAAAGACAAATGAATAACAGACCAATAAGTCAAATATGTTTTTAATTGAAAAGAAGAGCAAGCTTTTCCTTGACATGATGGAGGAAATGTTTTGCACAACCATTGTTGTAATAATGTGGGAGCCATGTGACTAAAAATGATTTATTTCCACCATAAACTTGTACAGACAAGGTAATCTTCAGTCAAAGAAACATTGAGCCTCAGATAAACTGATAAAACAGTATGATTGACAGACCATCAACTTCATTAAGGAGCTGAAGGAAACAGGAAGGCTTTACAGCAGTGTGTGAATTAATCATCCAGGACTGGAATACTCCATCAGGTACAAAATGGGAATATTCCTCATGCATTTCCAGTTTCCACTAAATGAAGTTAATGATTTCCCCAACCTTTGCATATTTTGAACATTATATATTTGTATATATACCCATGATTTTTATTTAAAATATTCCAGCTCATGTTTAACTGGTGCGTTGCAAAATGGGGACATGTTCGGCTCGCTCAGGATTTCCCCTTTTTCCGATCCTCTTATTGGAGAGTAGAGTATCTGCTTTGGGAATCTCCGGGTCTCTAAGGATGTATTGTCCTCTCACTGCTGTGACCTTCAGCACGCATTTTGCAAGAAATTTGCAGTCGTTGAAAAGGCCAGGATAAGGGAATCTGAGATTTTCTAGTGCTCATTTTGACATTTTGGTTTTGATGCATTGTTTGAAGCAATGTGGTTTCTGCTCTGATCCATCAAAGTAGAAAAAGGCAAATCTCCTGATTTACTGACTCACCTGCATTCCAGTCCTCACCTGCAGTTGTGAGACACGAACAATGCCTGAAAGAATGAGTTCCCAGACACGAGCGGCTAAAATCAGCTTTTTCCGTCCTGCATTTTAAATGGACCAGATTCACTTGGACGCTTGTGAAAGATCATCTGAATTCAGGTGTTGATCAAGAATAAGTGGACTCTTCCTTTCCTGAAAAGAAACATTTAAGCACTCCTGTTCTAGACTAACCACTAAGTGAGCTTAAATATTATATTACTGATCAAATCAATGCAGTTTTTTTCTGGTTACTACCAAATTATATCAACCTGTCCCTCCAGTTTCTTGAGAATTGCTGTAGAAAGTCATGTAAAATCAACAAATCTCTGCACTTTTTTATGCTAACACATAATTGGGAGTTTATTGCAGATTTTTCTCGAAAATTGTCTAATGCTTTACTTGTACTAAACAGCTGCCTCAGCTTTAATTGACATCAGGTTATAGTTTATAATCTGTACAGTGAGTAATAAAAAGTCACATTTACCATCAGAAATAAGTCAAATTAGAACCAGGAGCACTTCGACTTTTTTTTTTGCAAAAGAATCACAAAAAGAATCACAAAAAGATGTTCAATAATGTTATTTAATTTGAAGGATTCATTGATATTTCAGCAGTTTGTGAACAGGTTACATCAATACAATCTGGCACAACCGGCCCTTTAAGAGCATTCATGATCTTGATTTGGCCCAACAGGAAAATGAGTTTGACACCGCTGCTTTATGAGGAAACACTAAATACAGAATTAAAGTTCAGCTAATTTACAAAAAAAAGTACTTTTCCTCTTATTTTTATTGTTTAGATTAGAAGATTACCGGTTCCTGCTAATTCAGGCAAAGGGCTTGAGGTGATTGGTGCACAGAGTTAAAAGGATTAATATTGTTTGCAGGAGGAAAGCTCTTGTGCGCTTTGAAGACTGACAATAGAATAATGTTTATTGTGGCTCACTGCTCAGCATAGGGCCTCATTCATAAATGGAAAACAAAATGAAAGCAATAAACAGCCAGGAAAATAAGAGCAGTTACGGCTTGAAATTCTCTCAGCATCACACTGAAGATGAAACTTAATTTTGTACTGTCTGCTTTCAGTATTAGAGCAATAAATTCAACAATGACTATTTTTTTATCAAAATATATTTTAAAAATTGTTTTTGTTAATCTGACTGTTTACTATAAGCCTTTCTAAGACTGGTTAAAATTTCAAGATTTGGTAGAAGGTGCAAAATATTACTGAAATATCAGTGGAAAGAGTAAAAATGACCAAATGACAACCAAACCTACAATGAGACAGATGGTCTAGTTCAATCATATTTATGTAGTAGAATAGTCCAATTAGTCAAATTGTTACAATTCGGTAAAAAGTAGTCATCCAAACAATTACTCCAGTCAGAAATTAGAATAAAATGTATTTAATGAAACAGGTCATCTGGCTTTATTTGTCCAAAAATGATGCAAAAACATAAAGTTATGTACAAGTTGTTGTATTTTAAAGAATAAAACTAAACAATTAGTGAAATTAAAACCATCATCTAACCATTTTATTTGTAATCTGATGTTCTAATTGTATCACTTTTTTTATTCTGAGAGTTGATAAAAAAAATTGTAAAAAGTAAACTTATAGATTTACTGCAAAACTATGCTATAAGCATCACAACAAAAGAACCTGAGCAATGTTATAACAGTTTCTAACATTACTAGATTGATTATCATTGATTTCATTCAAATTTAATCAAGTTTCAAGTGCTCTGATTGTGATCCTATGAGGTTTTTGTTAATATAAAGTGCATTATAAATTAAATTAATCATCATCATTATTATTAAAACTTAGCCAAATACTTTGAGTGATAATTTATGCTGTTTCAAACAATAAAGTTTGTGTAGAAACAAGAAGTGTCTCTTTTACATCTTGCATGTTTATCTTTCTTTGGTGCATTTTTCTAGTGAAGTGCAGCCAGAACAGCTTCATTCAGAACTAAGAGAAAAAATTAGGTGTAAAAGCCGTCTGCTACTAATCATTCACAAAACATTTCTGCCATGGGAAATAAAGTCATTAAACGCCACTCGGATGCAATAATAATAATAAAAAAGTAGCTGTTAAATGTGTTGATAATGAGTCACACATTTGGACTTAATAGACGCGTCTCACTGAGAGCAGCTTATTAACTCCGAACCCAGAGAAAATACAGACTGTCCTTTCTGCTGATGTTGATTGGACTGGGATTTGACGGGTCGAAAGAACAGCCATTTTTAGTGCTTGGTCTTTATCTCTGTTGGCTGTTGTCACGGTCTTTGCCAGGCGGCAGGTGAGTACTGTAGGGCAGAGATAAAAGAGCAGGACGAAGGTTAAGTTGCTGTCTGTCTGCATCGAGACGTCATTTTGTGTTCAGGGAGCCCTGGATGTGAGCAACCTGCAGCTGTTTGGAGCACGTGGGATGTTCTTGTTAACGCATCAGAACAACACGTTGCTGATCCCACACAGCACTTTGCTGTCCAAGGATGTGACTTCATGCATATCAGCTGGTTGATGCCAGATTATGATGTAGAATATGGTTCAAATTAACAGATTAGTAATGTTAAATAATATAAAACAAAAAGAAATTAACAGTAAATGCTTTATGTGATGATCGTTTTAATTTATTCATTAAGAAATTATGAATGCTACTGTTTTTTTCTTTTTTTTCTAACGATTTTCATCCGTCCATCCATTTTCTTACACCCTTGTCCATAGTGGGGTTGGGAGGTGCTGCTGCCTTTCTCCAACACAGAGACAGACAGGACAAAGCACACACACACACTCACACTTAAGAAGAATTTAGAGAGACCAATTAACCTAACAGTCATGTTTTTGGACTGTGGGAGGAAGCCGGAGTACCCAGAAAGAGCCCACCATGCTCAGGTAGAACATGCCATCTCGAACCCAGGACCTTCTGGCTGCTACCAACTGCGCCACTGTGCAGCCCGGCTTAATAAATCAGTTCAGGCAAACAGTAAGTCTGATCTGACTCTCAACCCCTTTCTCCTTTCCACAGGCAATGCGACCGTGCTGTGGTGCACCTGTTGCACGAGTGTCTTTAAATCGGTTACCAAACGATTCATCAAGAACCTGGCGTGCTCCGGCATCTGCGCCGGACTCGTGTGCATCCCCTTCGACGTGGCGCTGGGGGCCAGTCCCCGCTGCTGCCTGTGGCTCCACACTCTGCTGCTCTGCAAGGTCGTCAAATTCCTGCATAAACTGTTCTGCTCCGTCACTGTGCTCAGCTTCAGCGCCATCGCACTCGACAGGTACACAAAATTATTCATTTCTCTTTAGTCTTTGCATTTTAAGTAGTTGGATAAAAGCAGAAAGGCATTAACTCTGAATTTAAGATTCCCCCTTGTGCAAATCTTAATTTGATGCAGAGTGAATATGAAATGCATTTTTCTGATGATTTTTTCATCTATTAATAGGAAAACAACTTTCCCAATAGTTTTATAGATACATAATCTATATAAAAGTTAAGTAGTTCCACCCTTGCCTTTTTAAAGCTCGCTTCTGCAGTTTTAATAAATAAAGTCATAATTGTTGACATAATTTGGCAGTAAACGGATAGAAACTGCATTGACTTGATTAATAACATAATACTTAATCACACCTGATGTTTAGTCTAGAATCTAAAAGGCCACATGAAAAGCAACAGCGGGCCAGATTTGCCCACTGGCCTTGAGTTTGACACTTAATCTAAAATAAGTAAATGTGGCAAAAATGTAAGAAAAGGCGAAATGTGCCTAGCTCTTCCACATACAGTAGGTTGTGTTTGTTCTTGAACTAAAAGATTCTTCCTAGAGTTGAAAGTTGTTTTCCCAGCCATAACAACCTAAATGTCAACGCATAGTTGAAAAATGACGAAGAGCACCCACTGCTCACTTCACCAAATGTGATTTGAGCTCTTCACTTTGTTCACACATGATGCTAACAGTCAAGTGAGTATTTTTTTTTGCACAGTTGCAGAAGGTGAGCTGCATATTAAAATGGAGTCACAAATAAGAGCTAAAATTGTTTTTCAGGTTGTCAGAATAGTCCTTTCAGCCTCTCTCTGCACCCTGGGACTGATTCTGCATGTATCTCAGCTTCCCTGCAGCTTTAAGTGCTGCAACCGAAAACAGCCAAAGATAGCAGCTGCTGCCCACATAAAGTCACACACACTGTCTTTAAAATTTAACTGTTCTGTCTCATCTGGAAAGTGGAATGTCCCTTTTGTTGTCAGAATTGGTTGATCGAGCATTCACTTTGTTCAGCTAAATAAATAATAGTGCAGTAAACAATTGGTCAGACCAGAAGAGGAACATTGCAGAAAGCAAAGAAAAAGAAGTATTTGCTTGATGCAAATTGATTCGTGAAGGCGAATCTGTGTCATGTTTCCACTTCAGGGTTGCCTCGTAATGGGAAAAAAAAGCAAATAGACATCTAAAATTTTGATAAGTTTGATAAGTAAAAACACTCACTTCTGTAACATTTGAAAAATGATGTGGAAGGACAAAATTTATCTTGCAATGCACCTTTTTTATTTTTAGTATTCACAAAGACATGTATTTTGTTTGTTTCAGTGGGAACTCTTCCAGTATCGCTTTTGGTGTCGACTGCTAGTTTAGATCACAGATGTGCCACAAATCTGTGTTAAGCAGATAAACATGCTGTGAGCATATTACCTGCAGGCATAAACAAAACATCCTGGTATCCCAGGATCACAAATTAAGTAGGAACAGACAAAAGGGAGAGACAAGGAGCTTCATTGCTCCTTTCTGCTGTGGTTAAACGCTTTTAAAAGCCTTCTTATAATAAATTAACAAATGACAATAATAATTTTCAGCCTATTCATGCTACATTATAGTAATAAAGGAAAGAGTTAAGGAGCTTGCAACAAATACCAACTGTGGGAAACTTCGATAAGATGTTTACCTTACATTAGCATGCACCTGTGAAAAAAGTAATTGGTTGAAACAAACTTGTACACAGTTTGTTCCAAAAAAAGGATCCTTGCAGTATCCTGGCTATTTGCCTCCTTTAACCACAGAAATGTACTATTCTATCTTCGTCTCACTATGTTGCCCCCTGCTGGCAACTGTAGGCAAGTGTTTGGCATTCTTTTATATATAAACTATTCATGTTTTTTACCTATTCTGCGGAAAAACTGTGTAACAAGTTATTGAATTGAAGTTACTGAATTTAACATTCAATGAAATGTGAATGCAATAAAATAATTAAACGTTGATTTTAAACGTATTAAATGTCTTCAAATTATTAAGATGCAAATGCAGATAATAATTATTTCATGATTCAGTAGCATCACCATGAAGGACTGTCACGATTTTCAGAAATACACAAAGAAAAACATGAAGCACTAAAAACAGGTGCATAAAGCCTTTAATAATCACAGCAATAAATGTAACACAGTGCATTCATGTACTAATCCATACTATTCTATTTCTATGTAAATGTAAATGTGTTAAACCATTCATGAGTTACTAATTTTCCTAACCTATCACTGCAAGTGTGTGACAGTGAAGCAAGAAAGAACATTTTCACACTAACTGCTGACAAACCAAATAAAATTGCATTTAAATCTTTTTCTTTATTCAGAAAACCAGGCTATAAAGAATCCTGGCTTGACAAGAGATGATAATTTACTCTTTTTCCTTAACGAGTCCTAAATTCTCTGTTGAATTGAATTAGTGTTGCTTACTTTCTGTATTGGGGCTGCAGTCAGCTGCTATATTGTTCCACCATCGTCTCAACCTGGATTTTACTGCTTTAAAGATTGTGTTGGCTCCATAGCAACCGCAGTCAGAAAAATATCAAAACACTTAATTATTCATTCTTTCAAAGGGTAATCAAGGCTACAGATAAACAGAAAAGTTGAGACTGCTGCACAGTTACTGGCTCGTTTACACATCAATGCATGAAAATACCCAATGAAATCTTTTTTTATCTTTTTTTTTCCTGCTTGTGAATGTTATTGTTGGTGGGGTGACAGAAGAAAAGGCCTGGCCGAGCCACCAATCATGAAGGAAATAAAGGTTTAATTGCAGAAACAAGTACCTTTAAGCAAACTGCAAACTCAAGCACTTTTTGAATGAAATTAGAAAAATACAGCTTAAATCCTTCAGATCTTCCTATTCCCTTGCAAATTAGCTGTGGCAAATTAACTCTCTCTAATAGAGCAACAGCATAAATGTTTCGAAGAAAAATTCACCTCTTTGCCATTTTTTTGAAATGTTTGCAGCAAATATAATGGGTTTATTAATGCTGGAGTTGTTCTGTCTTTCCTGTAAAACCACTAGAAGCTCATGCATCAGCATGATTGTGTGAATTTCTGCTTTGCTCGCTTAACTCCACATCTACAGGATACATGTTGTTTCTGAACCCTTCTGTTATTGATGTGGATATTTTTAAATAGATTCACTCTTTAAAATTCCACTCTGCTTATCTGTATTTCCACATAAATCCTCTTAAGAGAGATTTTCATAAGCCGTTTTAGGCGTGACTGCAGTCAGACGACACTCGGCTCAATGAAAAGGCCTTTTTTTCACAGTAGGAAATGGTTTAAACCACATCAAAACCCTCAAACTACCTTCAGTTTTTTTTTAATTGGCTACACCTTTGGGATATGAAGAGACAAATCACAGTTTCTCTTAGATCATACGTGTCAAACTCAAGGCCCGGCGGCCAAATCTGGCCCAACGTAGCTCATACTTTGGACCTCAAGATTCCAGACCACATAAATATAACCTTCAAGATAATAGTTGTGTGCTTAAATATAGTTTTATCAATCAAATAAAAGCAGTTTAACATGCATACTTCCATGGACAATCACTTTTTTGTGAAAATTCATGAAAAATCAATGCTAATACATAAGTGTGACTTGATTGCACATTTTCTGCTAAGATGGTCAAACCCATTTGAGACTACTAACTCCCACCTGTAGGTGGCAGTGTATCTTTCTTCTACTACATTTCCACCTCCGTGATCAACTAGTATTTCAGAATTCTTTGAAAATATTTTTAAATTAGCACGACAAAATCTGTGATTTGAAATTTTGATATGAAAAAATGTTTGATATTTAATTTTATTGACAGAGACACTATTTATTAATATTTGTAAAAGTTTCATCAATCCATTCTTGCATAACTGACCCTCGAGGACGTTTATCATCAAAATGAAAATGGATGCATACATACTTTGTCGTTGTGTCTGCAGGTACTACTCAGTTCTGTACCCGCTGGAGAGGAAAATCTCCGATTCCAGATCTCGAGACTTGGTCATCTACATCTGGGTCCATGCAATCGTGGCCAGCCTCCCTGTGTTTGCCGTGACCAACGTTACCGACGTCTACGTCACCTCATCCTGCTCAGATGACCACGCCCGCTCGCTTGGTCACGTGGTCTTCGTTTTGATCTACAACGTCACCACGGTGATCTTCCCCCTGGCCCTGGTCTTCCTGTTCATGCTGCTGATCCGCAGAGCTCTCAGTGCCAGCCAGAAGAAGAAGGTGATCATCGCAGCGCTGCGGACCCCGCAGAACAGCATCTCCATCCCCTACGTGTCGCAGAGAGAGGCGGAGCTTCACGCCACCCTGCTGGCCGCCGTGCTGGCTTTCTCAGCCTGCAGCGCCCCCTACGGAGCCTTGGTGGTTTACCGCACTGTTTTTGCAGACACTAGAGAGTTACCCGTCTCACTTTATCTCACAGCCCTTTGGCTCCCCAAGGTTTCTCTTCTTACCAACCCTGTCCTGCTCCTGACGGTTAACCGCTCGGCCCGCCACAGCTGCATGGACCTGCTGTTCAGGATTCACCGGCGTTACAGCCGGCGAAACGCAGTCACCACTGGGAGATTGGCGTCTATTGCGGGCGAGGGGCCAGCTGGGGAGCCTGTGGGCCTTGATACAGCTGGTCGCTCTGGGAGCCAGCTTCTGGAGATGTTTAACATTGGCCAACAGCAAATCTTTAGACCTTCTGAAGAGGAGGAAGACGAGGAGGATGCGAAGAATGAGATTCCTTCTGAAGCATCAGGAGGCCACTCGGAAAACCAGAAGGATGGGTCAAGGCTGGGAAGCTCAAAGGGTGAAGTGAACACACCAAAGGACCCAGTTGGAGGGGTGATCGTCACTAAAGAAGCTTCAGCTAAAGCGGCTCAGGCCTCTCCCGTTCACGCATGCGCATACACTTCCTCGTCGCAGGTGGCGCCCGCTACGCCCACAGAAGCGGAGGACTCTCCACAGTTTGGTTTCGGACCTTTTGAGCTGCCGCCTCAGTGGCTTCCTGAGACCAGAAACAGCAAGAAGAGGCTGCTGCCTCCGCTGGGTAACACGCCAGAGGAGCTGATCCAGACCAAACTGCCCAGGCAGCGATCCGAGCGACGGATCAGCAGGAACAAGGTCAGCACGATTCCCGTCGTGGATCCGTGAACTGAGTCTGCACCACTGGACACAACCCAATGCAGGCGTTTAACAATGATGGCTTCATGTGGTTGGCTTGAACTCTAGTTTTTTTCTTTACTCGAACTCAGACTTTCCAGTTTACTAAACCAGAGGCACTGTGGAGGAAAAACGGTTTGATATGACTTATTTGTAACCTTTTAGTCAAGTTGACACTTTCACCACAGCTTTGACTGTTCCTGTTTATAATTATAGAACATAATAAAACGTTTGAGAAGACGGATGCCTTTGCAGAAATACTCACAGCACTTGAGCTTTTGAATGTTTTTTCACATTACAATCACAAACTTGACTTTATTTTACTTTTTTAATGTATCTGACACTAAGGAAGTACTTAATTATTAAGTGGAATAAAAATGATGCTTGTTTTTCTGTCATCTTAGGCCATCCTACTATACAAAATTCACATTTTGCACATTTTTGTTCTTTGAGTTTTTATTGCTTCTGGTTTTTGGCAATAAGTAAACATTTTTTGGTGTCTGGAAAGTGAGCAGTTTTCAAGCTTTGCCACAAATTCCAAGTTGGACTTTAACTACGCCATTGTAACGCTTTAAGCTTCTCCCTGCTGGAAGACGGCGCCGAATCAAGTGGAAAGTTGTGTCTTGGTATGTTTATGTTGCCATACTGCTTCCATTCTTGGATGACGGAGTGGAACATCTGAGATGTTGACAGACCCCTGATGGGATTTTATTTAAAGCCATTCATCATTTTCTTATGTCATGAGTTACTTTATGTTTGCCTTTCACATAAAAAAACAAAAACAATAAAATCCTTTGAAGATTGTGGTTGTAACAGGAAAAAATGTCCAAAAGTTCAAGAGGTGTGAGCAAGTTTGCAAGCTACTGCATTGGCTGTCTGTAATAAAAAACAAGAAATCCAGTCGTAATGATGGCTATGCTAAACATTTAGCATACATTTCCACAAGCTATTCCAATAAAGACTCTCAGTTTTGTCAAAAACGCTCCTGCTTTGACAGATTGATGAGATTCTTCTCTATTTCTGAAATCATCTCAAACCTTTTATAACAATTTGTCTTTTCAGTTTTCGCTGAAATATTTGAAATCTGTATTCTGATTTCTACTCTGTGTTTTCTGCAGGTTCCTGATTGAAAGTGTCCCTGTCTCTACTAATAGTTTACACATTATTATTGTTCATTCTTTTACTGTATGTGAGTTTCATATGCTGAAAAGTGCAGATGTGGATTATGCAAATACAGGTTTTAAATGACTCAAACCGCTTCTGTTTTTATTTTGGATCAATCGCATGGGAAAAAAATTTACATTTATAGAAACAAGAATGATTTAAATGTCCTGAATCTGTTCTACTGACTTCTTTTAAATTCTAAAAAAAAAATCAAGCAAGCTGAGAAACACAAGCATCAAAAGCCCCAACTGGCTCTTCTCACTTTGTCTTCTTCGTGATGCATAATGCAATAGTAGCCACTTCATCCTTAACCTTTGTCTCAGGCAAACAGCTGGGCTGCACCTCAAATATTTGCAGATCAGTATCCTCTGCTGATACCCACAATGCTTTACTATGTTCACAAAGAACTTGAATGTCGGATTCACACCACCTCCAGTGGTATCAGAAAAAATGTGTCATGCCTTGCTTAAAAGAATATTGACAGCTTTTTGTCTTCAGCACAAAAATGTGACATTTATTTGGCACATAATAATAAAAAAATCCAGAAAGCAGGTTGTTGGTTTACAGTGACGTACAAACCAGAGTGTCATTGATTTCTCCAGAATTTTATTCTGGGTTTGACCTAAAATTTGCCACCTGATTTCACAGACGGCTTATTCAAACATGACAACCTTCTAGTTGTGCAGTCATAAAATGCTAAAAGAACACAAATATGTTTTTGTTTTTTAACGGAAAAGAAAATGGTTGCATTTATTCCAGATTTTGATGGAAGGAAATATTTTAAAACCTTATGATAATTTTATTTATAGTCGTAGTACTTCACAATTCTTGTCAGAAGTAGACAAAAATGAAAAACCCACTGCTCTGAACCTCCTTGAGAACCTCCTGGTTATTCCTCCAAATATTGCTTTCTGAACTATTCCTGAGTTAAAACATTAGTATTGTTGTTTCTAAATGAATATCAACTTGTTTTATTTGCATTATTTGAGGTCTGAAAACAGTGCATCTTTTTTTATTAGTTTCAATTTAGCATCAATAGTTTGCACTGCAGCCCAAAGTGACTCAATTCAGATTTTTTATTTTTTGCTGTATTACGACCTGGATCTGATCTTTTCATGACAGTACGAACAACACAGGTCAGATTTTTCTTCCGAATGCGACGGTCACTATTCTGACGAAAGAACAACACCTATGGTGGACCATAGTGAGGTTCCGGTCGGACAATTTCAACAGCGTACGCTATGCTCCACCTTTAGCTTCCATGTTTAACACTTCTTCTTCTTTCTAATTTTTACTGCGGGGTGACATCTAATGTTAACAAATACTATGCTGGAGTGTGGACCAAAGTATTTCCCTTTAATCTAAATTCTTATATATAATCCTGTTTCCTTCTGCTTTGTTTGTCTTATGTTTAATTAATATCTTATTAAGGTTTAATGTCTCTATATCATATTTCCTAATTTCTTTTTTAGCTTCTCCATTTATTTTCATATTCTCTACTTTCTTTTGTATATGAAATAAAAGATTTACAATAGGAAACACAAGAAATGGTGCAAACAAGTTGCACATAAGGGAACATTTCTGCCAGACTCTGCAAGGAAGCAAAAGCTTTTAGTTAAGAGTTTAGAGCTTACTAACTGTGAAAAGCATAAATCCAGGGTGAATGCTGACTTTTCCCTTAATTTCATCATTGAAAGCATCTTCTCCTTTTCGCCTGGAAGAGTGTCTCCCAAGCTACTATGCAGAGAAACTCTAGAGGAAATCAGCAGAGAGGTTTGCTACAGACTCTTAGAGCGCAGGAAATTATATGGGCTGCAATCCAGACTGAGTAAACACAGTTTAATCTTCTTTGCAGGCTGCATAAGAAAAAGCACATGAAGAATTATTGTGTAACAGAAGCACAAATCTGTATTTCTGATCAGCTTTAGTAACCAAAGTAGGAATTGTTGTAGTTGGTATTCAGGTCGTGACTGTTTTTCCCTCCTATGTATTTGTCTCTATGGAAAGTCGCCATAGTCAAGTAAGACTCTGTTTGCATTGCGGTTGCTGTCGATACAAAAAAAATCAATTTAGTGGTGTTATTAAACTATAAAATAAGTGACAACGTTGTAACGCTGATGCATTATGTCCATTTAGACTTTACTGTCACTGTCTGGTAATTTTTCTTCTTTTGTCAACTTAAAGTAAAGTAGAAACGTTCACATTTAACACAGTAAGTGAACCTGTAGCTACGTTTTTCAAAAACATTTCTGCTTTCTACTTTCCAGCTTCCACTGGCAGGATTTGTCAGTCAGTTTTCGCCTCACTGGATCATTTGGAAATATTGTTACACTGGATTACATTTGATTGTTTCATATGAATGCATAACTGTGATGAGTGTTTATTACATCTCCTCTTGTCAGAGCTCATTTTGAAGTGGATAAATCCTAATGTTATCAGTGAAATCTATTTTCAGCCGTCACAGATGCAACAAACGCTCATGACCACTTCCCTCTTTCCCCCATTTCTCTCTCTTTTTTTTAAGTAGCTATTACTCTGAATAACTGATTTAAACAGGATGGTTGCTAGACAACAGGTAACCCAGATGCTGAGGAGCAGCTCCTGGTGTAAACAGCTCCAGTGTTTCCCTCTGTGCTGACGTAAAGTGTGGGGACGTGTCAGGGACAAAAACAGAGTGATGGTATTGCAGTGACTCAGAGTCTGATGGCAGATGGGAGCGGACTCCTCGGCTTGGGTTTCATTTCTCCAGAGAAAGTGAAGTAAAGGGTCATTTCTGATCCAGTTTGCTGATCCATGCAGCTGAAACTTCTGAAACGTCAAATCAAAATGAGTCAAAACTGCTAAAATTAATCTTAAAATATGCCAGTATAAAGTTAATATGTTTATGCAGATGAGTTCAAGGTATTCCCATATAACCACCCCTCCGCCACCGTGCTTATGCAAAGGTAACTGACTCAAACCCTAAATGGCTTAAGAAACTCTTACAGATCGTCAGATAGTAGCTGAGCTCCAACATTTGCTGAATGTTAATTCATTAAGTGCTTAAAAAATGACAAATTTAAGTCAGTCTTACTTTAAAAACTTTTTTTTAAATCCTTTATTAGTTTACTCCTTCAAAAAAAAGAAGTAAACTAATAAAGGATTTATTTTAAAGTTTATTTTTGGCTCTGGTGGCCTTTATTTGAGAGTAATTAGACAGGAAAGTGGGAAATGACAGATGGGGAAAGGTCATCAGCCCAGGAATTGAACCTGCGACGGCTGCACAGTTTCAACACTTCTGACTTTCAGAAACAAGCTGCTTTACGATTCCGTTACTTACTAGCAGATACTTAAAACACATGAACACAAAAATCAGTTTGTTTGTTTTTTCCCTGATGGCTCTGAGTGAGAGCAAACCAGGACTTCAGGCTGAATGTGGTCTGCAGATGTTGCGTCACTCTGCCAAGAAGACTTTAAAAGAAAAACATATTGGGCGAAAGTATAATAGAAAACATCACAGCGTCTCAGACTGAAGAGCTGTTTCTCTTTGTCAGTGTCCGTACTTCAGCAGTAACCAGGGTAACAACTCTCGGGTCATTTTGACCCATTTTTCACCACATTTAATAGATTTTTCAATACTCTCCATTATTATCCATTAACAGAAAACTTTTTTGAACCAACGTCCTGTAAGGCTTTGCATTCTTTTTTGCACAATGCATATAAACCGGCTAAAATTGACGTAATTTGGACAAGCCAGAGCCTCAAAATTCACCTCATCTCTTAGCAGAGATGTATTTTACAGACACATAAAAGCAGGTCCTGATGGGCTCCTGCAGAGATGAGGCTGAATCACTCGGTCTGACATGCCTCTCAGAAACACCTTGTTCTTTCCTTAAAGCACTCTAGAAGATTTCTCCCAATTCAGCTGATTACAAGCAGGCTGTTCATGTTTGCTAAACCCTCTTTAAGACATGCTCTGGATAAAAATATATAAGTACATAGTTTACAAAGTTGGCTCATTTTACCTGAGGTAATCATTTCTTGCAGCTGCATGAAACTGTTTTGCTTGCTGCATGACTAAAGGTCAGGAAGACTCTCATGTTGCTCCATTAACAGTACTGGAGGCTTTGATTGAGTTGAGGAAGCAAGTGGTTTACTTTCCTTTTAAAAAATATAATACAAGATTATTTAAAAATGGGTTTCTGTTGACTGGAGGATTTTGACAAATGAGTCATTTCTTCAACTGAACAACAAAAGCAGACTTTGAACAAAGCAGAATGTCTCTCTTTTGCATTCCCGTGCAATCACGTCGTATACAGTATACAGTCACAAATGTCAAGTTAAAATGTCGAATATACACACGTTTAAAGAGCCTGAGTGAAAACGTGTTTATACATTCTTAACTCTGATGGAAAATCGATTTATTCACTGCATGTTTATGTCTGTTTGGTCGAGATGGTCCTGCACGTGATAATGCTCCTTTATTAACCATTCAGACTACCAACACAAAAAACACAGCAGAAGCTGTCAGATATGACGTGAAAATAACTCAGAAATAGTCCAAACAGTTTGGATGTAGTTTTTCTGTCCTTCCTTCGTAAGGAAAGTTTGCTTACATCTTAGAAGAGAGACGAAAATCCCATGTTTTCTATTTTGCTTTTGCATTTTGCACATAGGTTTGTGGTGCATTTCTGTCCTAAACAAAGATGATATCTCACAAACAAGATGGAAAAACCTCATGAAAACCTGATAATATAACAGAAAGTACAGTCACTGTAAGAAAAACTTTCTGTATTCAATTATGCCGTATGAACTGATCAGTACATTTTTGCGAGATCTCAGAAGAAGAAAAAAATCCTCAAGGTCCCCTAAAGGGCTCCGTATCACCTCCTTGGTCAGAGTTGCACCACAGCAGAATCACAGCTTCATCCCTGCTCTATTTTTGCTCAAAAACAAAACTACAGCAGTCCCCTACTTCAGTGTGCATGTATCCTGTTATCTGAAATAATTCTGTCTTTCACTGAATGATCAACAGGATAAAAAACAATAAATTTGGATCAACCAGACAGTTGTTATTCTCAAAGCTTTAGTCAAAGTAGGAGAGA